TCATTTTTACTATTGAGTTATGTGACTTCTTTATAAATTGTGTATATTAACCCCTTGTCAGGTATATGACTTGCAAATATTTTTACTACTCCATAGGTTGACTTTTCATTTGGTTGATTGTTGCTTTTGCTTATCAAAGTCTTTTAGTTTGATATAGTCCCACTTAATTAATTTTGGGTTTTGTTACTTGTGCTTTTGGTGTCACCCCCCAAAAAATCATTGCTCAAATCATGCCAAGAAAGTTCTCCCATGTTTCCTTCAAAATTTTTTATAATGTCATTCTTAAGTGTAAGTCTTGAATCCATTTTCAGTTAATTTTTGTAAGTGATGTAAGACTAGGGTCCAATTTCATTCTTCTGAATGTGATTAATCACTTTTCCCAACACCATTTATTGAAGACTTTATCTTTCCCTCATTGAGTATTCTTGGCTCCCTTGTCATATAATAGTTGACTATAGATTTGAGGATTTTTTTCTGGGTCTCAAGTCTGTTCTATGGTCTATGTGTCTATGTTTATGTAAAAATACTGTTAGCATACTGTTTTGATTAGTATAGCTTTGTAGTATAGTTTGATATCAGAAGTGTGATGCCTTCTTTTGTGGTTCCATATAAATTTTAGGATTTGTTTTTTCTGTTTTTGTGGAAAATGTCACTGGAATTTTGATAAGGATTGCATTTAATCCATAGATGCATTTGGTTGGTATGTGCAGTTTAACCGTATTAATTCTTCCAATTCATGAGCATAGGATCTTTTCATTTGTTTGTATCTTTAATTTCTTTCATCAATGTCTTGCAGCTTTCAGTGTACATGTATTTCACCTCCTTGATTAAATTCATACCTAAATATTATATTGTTGTGGATGCTATTGTGAATGGGACTGTCTTATTTCTGTTTCAGATGTGTTCTTGTTAGTGTATAGCACAACAATTGATTTCTGTATGTTGTTTTGTGTCCTGTAACTTTACTCAATTTATTGATAAGTTCTGACTGTTTTATGGTGATCTCTAGGATTTTCAATATATTCTATCATCTGCGAACAAACGGGGCAATTTTACTTCTTTCTTTTCAGTTGGGATGACCTTTATTTCTTTTTCTTGCCTGACTTCTCTGGCTAGGACTTCCAGTATTACAATTGGAGTGGTAAAAGTGGGCATCCTTAATCTTGTTCCTAATATTAGAGTAAAAGCTTTCAATCTTTCACCATTGGGTATGTTAGCTCTGCATTTCTCATATGGCCTTTATTATGTTGAGGTATGTTCTTTTTATACCCAATTTGTTGAGCATTTTTTTCATGAAAGCATGGTGTATTTTGTCTAATGTTTTTTCTGCATCTATTGAAATGATCAAATCATTATGATCATCCTGCTAATGTGGTGTATCATGTTTATTAATTTTCATATGTTGAACCACCCTTGCATCACAGGGATAAATCCTGCTTGATTGTGATGTATGATTCTTTTAATATGCTGTTGAATTTGGTATGCTAATATTCTGTTGAGAATTTTTACAATATATTCATCAGGACTATTGGTCTGTAATTCTCTTTTCTTGAGGTGTGCATATCTGGCTTAGGTATCAGGGTAAAGTTCACCTTATATAATAAGGTGGACAATTGAAAGGACAGGTTTTAAATGCAGATGTATGGCCCTGGCTGGTGCTGCTCAGTGGATTGAGTGCAGGCCTGCGAGGTTTGATTCCCAGTCAGGGCACATGCCTGGGTTGTGGGCCAGGTCCCCAGTGAGGGGCACACCACACATTGATGTTTCTTTCCCTCTCTTTCTCCTTCCCTTCCCCCCTCTCTAAAAATAAATAAATAAAATCTTTAAACAAATAAATGAAGATGTATGGTCCCTTTACTATTTGTTTCTCATCTATGAGGTATTTATCTTGTTTTGGAGTACAATTATGTCATACTTTTTTGTCTTCTTATTGTGTCTTTCCTTTCTGATATTTACAGCATGGTGGGTGAAGGTGGTGATCAGTTCTCAAAGTGAATGCACACAAAATCTTGGTTGGAATACATTACACTGCTACTACTACTACTATTATTATTATAAAGATTTACTGAGAGGTTCCCATGTGTCAGGCTCTGTGCAACGTGCCTTCTTACACTCTTTGAATTTAGCCCTTCTAGCAACCCTTTTGCAAATCCTGACTTTAGAGATGATAAAACTGAGGCTCAGAAATGCTACAGAGGACGTGTGTATGCTTATATCATAGAAGCTCTTAGAGCCTGGATTTGAACCTGGGTCTGAGATCAATGCCTGTAAACATGTTTTCCACTTGGGACCATTTCTAACAGCGTCCACCTCTCAGCTGCCTTTCTGTGCACTTGGATTTACTGTCCTGGGAGAAAGAATGCTGCTCCATTTGAAGGAAACTTGCTCTCTTCTATACAACATTTTTTCAGCAAATATGCTGCTTGTAGGAAATAGCCTTCTGAATATCATAACACCTTCAGAGCTAGGGAGAAACATGAATCACCACTTGTGAAGGACATACATCATTGTTCTGCAGCAAACTCTTTCTCCCCATCCAAACCTCTCATCTAGTTGTATTACCACTTAGGTCACTGGTCTCACAGATGCACCCCTATACCACCCCCCACCATGAGAAAAGTCCTCTTTGTATGGTCCAGATAGTCATTTCAAAAGTGAATCCCCATTGTAGTATATGAGACTAGAGTAAGTGACAAGCAGGTAAGTATCTAGTTACTGGTATCCAGTTCATCCTGGCCAGCTCTTGCCTTTGGCAGTTCTTAACTTAAGGTTTAACCTATGAATGGTTTTCATATTTGAGCCACCAGTCCTGATGGGGATGAGACAGAGTCAAAGATTTCTTACCACTGTCAGCAGAATGTGTCATGCTCTAGCCACACCTGCAGGATACACGTACTGTACTCAGAGTCAGCTGAGCCTCCAACCACCAACTAGACCTGGAACCTTGAGCTCTGGGTGCTCAGCAACCATCCCTAGGACATTATTCTTCCCAGTAAACTCTCTCCTCCTCACCTTGTTTGGGTCTAGGCTTCTGCCTTGAGCCCCACACTGAAGTTTGATTGATTGTCCCTCTAACACACCAGATCCATGTCCCCTTTTCCCACCACTCCCTACCACACACAGTCAAGACCCTATTCTGAAGATCCATCCAACTGGTGTGTATATATGTCTATTTCTAACTTGCTCCCTCTCGCCTAGCTCCCTAAGACGGGGGGTGCTTTCTGCACCCAGTCCCAATGCTGGCTCTTGTTGCCTGTGGATGACACAACACTTGGATATCAGTCATTGGTCTGGTTAGTTTCTCTCAGCCTGGCCTCCAGTCCTGCCTCCCTGCTGTTATAAGGTGACAGGGTTCTTCAAACAGCACTCGCCTGCTTTACATTACCCTGGCCATCACTCCTTACCTACCACTATATTTCTTCAGTCATTTGCACCACACCTTGCTTCAAAAGGTCTACTCACTTTGCCTAACTAATTTCAGAGGAAATTCAACTCTAGGGGTGGTGGCTCTTGCATGCTGAAGTATGTGATAAATCACTGACCTTAACAATTGATTTATAAAATTAGAAGGGGCTTAACCTTTTTTCCCTTCTTAAACACAAAATGATTGAATTTTGATTTTTTGTAGAAGAAAAGAAAAGCTGGAATAAAGACCATGGTCTGACCCCCCCAGGTTCCTGACATTCATCATTCTGCCTGTACTACTGATGGGATGTGTGGCTGTGTGCATTAAAAGGCCCAGGTAGAATGATTCTGGAGACATTTGTAAATCAGCTTGGGAAGAATTGCAGGATTCACTTAAGGGAAAAGCTGAAGAAATGGTTGTTCCAAGTTGGCCTGGGAGGTGAGTGAGGAAAATCATTTTACCAGTGTTGGTAGCAGTTCACCCTGTTTCCAGGCCAGAAAGATGATGGCTGATGGCACAGGGCAACAATTTATTGCTGTTTTGCTCAAAGAATTAAAAAACAGTGGCCATAGTATGACCAGGACAAAATTAGTAGGGGATCTGGTTGATTTAATTTTATTTTTGAGGAATATGAATTCCTCTAAGCAAGAAGAAGTAGTGCACATTAAATTTTTTAGCGTGTTATATGAGGTATTATTTGTAGAGTAGGAAAATAAGCACAGGGGGGAAAATGCAGCCAGAAACTGCCATGGCTTCATCTATAGTGAGGGTAGGTATCTGCAATGAAAGGTCAAGGGAGGCCCCAAGGAAGAAATCTCTGCTTATATCAGTCACTTGTTCCAAATTCTACCCTAAGAAATATGGTGGCTGTAACTCTGTCCCTCTTCAAAGACAATTTACAAATGTCTAAGTACATTTCTGACAGTTAATGTAACTCTACTGTTATAATTGGTTAATTCTTAATTGTTCACTTGCGAACAATGTACACACACTTCTTTTTAATCCTAGCAGTCTGGTCCAGTGGAGGAAGGCAAAGGACTGGGGATGAGGAGCCTCTAAAGGAGATTACACAGTGCTTTCCATGCAGAGAAGGACCAACAAAGGCTAGTTGTTGTTCCTGTCATTGCGATATGTGTCCATCAAACGCACAACTTTAGGCAAAGCCACTTGTGTTCTCTTACATATAAAAGTGGCTTGTCTACACTCTGGGGTTATGGCAATGATACATGAAGATAGAGAAATTAAACATGGTTTGAAAAATTACAAATGACAAAGATAAGACATTGTCATTTCATTTATCTCCCACAGTCTTGTGGAACTGCATCACCATCTGCTGGTGCCCGCTCCCAGAATGCAAGATGGTTTTATTATTCACTGGAAGAGACATAATACAGTCAGGAAAGGTCACTGTGTGGGGAGATATGATCTAAAGTAATCTAAATACAAGGGGATGCTGGCTTTCTCCAGTTTGGGTTTTAGAAATCATAGCTTGACTGTGGGGTATGTCTGGTCCTTCATTTCCTTCAGTGGCCTGCCCTGGTGTGGTAAAGTACTTCCACGCTGGCCCCAAGAAACAGCAGTTCCCGAGGGTTACCTGTAGGTTGTATCAACACTCAGGTTGGCTGCAGCTAACTCTGATGGAGGTATCCATGCAGGTAATGTGTTCCCAGCAACCCACTTTGTCCACTCAAACAAGCCAGGCTCTACACGGATCTTCAAGTGATTTTCTTGTTGTAAACCTTAGAGGTAAGATAAAATGAAGATGAAGGAAACATCACTATGTTCTCAGTGGAAAAGTTAATTAGAGGCCAAACTGTCATAAAAATTCTGGTAAATCTGCTATCCTCTTTTCAACCAGATGCTACACAGAGCAAAAAGGAAGTGGAAATATGTGGGTTTGGACCAGGGTTTTAACTTCTTGTGTTACAAATATATGAGTTTAATAACGCTGGCCACAGCACCAGGATAGGATGTATGTGGGTTAAGGAAAAAAAAAAAACCACGAGTCATTACCCCATAATTTATAGAGTTCTACAACTCCTGTAATTCCTTTTTCTAAAGTAAGCCCCAAGACTACCTCATGAAAAACTTCAGACATTCTCTCAGTATCCATTAGTCTATAATCGCTTACATCGTATTTGAGTATTAGGCAAATCATTCATTTTCTCTATCAAAATATCCAGGGTTGAATACTTACAAGTGAGAGTATACAAGTTTCACACTTTATCACAGTGTAATGACCCTCACAGTCAGGCTGTCCCTGTGTAACTCTCTATATATTGCCTTAAGCCAAGTTTTTCTATGCAAATTTAATATATAATGCATTTTAATAGATAAATGCATTCTGGTTTACTTAAGATTAATGAAAAGCAATCTCAACTACAGTGTCAATTCTTTGTTGGCTCAGCTATTGCTGGCTCATTCATTTGTTTTGTATAAGTAAACGGTTCAGCGTTTCTTCTTCTAGGTTTTTTTTTCCAGTGAAATGAGAAAGGCAATTCCTAGAGTTCAACCTTCCACAGATTTTAGGATAGAAGTTGAATATCTTTATAACAATGGTGTTTCTAAAGTCATTCCACTGAAGAAACAAGGACAGTTAAGACCTGCAGACACCTCAAAGCATCATCGCTACTGCAAACAAGAGGCAAATAGAGCGGAGTGGGAGGACGTGACGTCACTGTTTCATGATGTCGCTGGTTCATGCTCTGTGGGCTCTGAATCATTGCCAGACGATGTTTTACATGACTACAGTTCATCCAGAAAAAAAATTCAAGAAAAATAGTATTTGTATACTTCCTTTTATCATGCTGATACTGCTGGAGAATGGTTTGGGGACTTTCATAGAGATATCTTCCAAAAGAATCACTATTAAAAATTCCAAATTTGAAGCGTTTACTTGGCTATCATCCCATGAGTCTAGGATGACTTAGGTGTAGGGCTGCCTGGAGACAGAGGGTCGGGCTGGTTGACCTTCATCAAGTCTTACCTTTCAAGATGTTGTACGCAGTCTGAACACAGCGCAGGGATGGGGAACAATAGATGTGGTCAATAATGGTGTTACTTTCTAATAAAGCTTCACCTGCAAAGAAAACCAAAGGGCGATCAATCTGATGGGCTCAGCCTCAGCTGGACGCTCCTGTGGGCAAAGATGCAGTCAGACCCTGCAAACCTCTCTGTCAGTGAGGGATCACACAAAGTCAGCAGTCTCAACCCTTTTTGTTTCAAACAAATCCCTTGATACAGAGACTTATTTCTAGGAAAAGAAGCCAAGTGAAAGATGCTTTCTTGTCTTTTTCTCTCCTGCCTGGTACTTAACAAGGGCAAAATGTCCACTTAGGAGAAACCTAGAAACTTAATAAATAATGCTTTGATTGCAAGTTTGTGATAAAAGTAGGAGTGTTTAAATTGTTTTAATTTTATGCTGTTCTAAATAAAATTTCAGCTTGTCACATTCTTGTCACATTCTTTACTAGAGGTAAATCTCAACACCTGATACTTCAGCACTTTCCTCATGGAATCCACTTTTTTCCTCTACTGAATAAAGTTCAAACACCTTGATACAGTGGTCAAGGTCTTCCACAAACTTGTCTTTATTCATCTTGCCAACATCATCTACTGCCCTTCTCATAATCTATGCTCTAGAAACAAGACAGCTTGTTTCCTCTACACTCTTGATGTGGTTTCTCATGCCTATGACTTTATGTTGTTCTTCCCTTCTCTCCTCCTGCTCCTTCTTACCTAGCTGACTTTGACTTCCGGTCTCAGCTTATCTTGCTTCTCTCATGTCTTTTTTCTGCTCCTATACTTTGTTTTTTGAGTTAGAAGGGTGAAATCAATGTGGTGTTTTTAATTTTTTTCAATTACAATTTATAGTTAGTATTATTTTGTATTAGTTTCAGGTGGCAGGGTTTCCATTCAAGATGGCAGTGTAGGTAAACACAGCTAGCCTCCTCACACAACCACATCAAAATTACAACTGAACTAGAGAACAACCGTCAGAAATTGAGTTGAATGGAAGTCCTACAACTACAAATTAAAGAACCACATCAAGACTGTAAGGAGGGGCAGAGATGTGACAGGCTGCTTCCATAGCCACATATGGTGGGTAAAAATTGAGAGAAATATCTTGGGAATGAAGAGTCCCAGCCCCACACCAGGCCCACATGCCCAGGGTTCAGTGCCAGGAAGATAAGTCTCCATAACTTCTGGCTATAAAAACCAGTGGGGATTGAGGCTGTGAAAGACAAACTGCTGGAGTCTCAGGCAGTTCCCCTTAAAGGGCCCACACACAAGACTTACTTGGACACACTCCTTTTGAGCTCCTGTGCCAGGGTAGCAGCTTGAAAGGCATTAGAGGCGTAAGGGGAGAAACTGAATAGTCTGGCATCAGGGCAAGAGCTGGGGCACAGCTTTCTCCCAGACATAAATGCTAGCAGAGGCCATTGTTCCTTTGCTGAGTGTTCCCAGTCACAGAGCTGGCAGGTGGGTGTCATATCTGAGACTTCATCAACCTGGCTCACACCATTTGCCCTACCCTGGTGATCACCTGAGGATCCATACCACCCAACTTTCAGGGCCACCCAGGCTGTTTCCAGTGGCTTTTACAAATACAAATGGCTTGTCTTGGCTCATGCTTTAGATTCTCTTAAAATCTCTCAAACAAACAGCATCTAGCCTCAGCATGCCCCATGCCTATTGCTAAGTGCCCCCAGGCATGGCACTAGCACCAAAGCAGCTGGCCTTGGTTCACACCTTGGACTCACTTGGGCACATTGACACCTAGCACAAATAGCAGCCAATTTCAGATTGTTTTGCAACTTATTTGGGTGGCCCTGGACAGAAAACAGGGGGTGGCTGACTTTGGCCTGCACCTCCCGGGAGGCCCCAGAGCCTGCACTCCCCATGAACAGCTACCAATCACATCAGAGCACCACCACCCAACCATCTCTGCAAGCAACATACTCAAGGGGCAGACTCAGCAAGCACCACTGTGCTAAAGTAAGTCCTGCTCTGTGGAGTGGGCTCCTGCACAGCTGATTCTCCAAGGTGGTTGGAGTTTGGTGGTCAGTGGTCAGTGCCAGTCCTTGCTGCCAATTGGCCTGTGTAAATCCCTCCCATTGACCTGCTAATGGCAATCAAGGCTTGTCTGCAGGAAAGGAGTATACACAGCCCACACAGTGAGTGTACCTCGAGTGCCCAGCTTGGGTGATAGAGGAGGCTGTGCCACTGGACCAAATGAGACACTTACTGCATTAGGCCACTCTACCAAGCCAGGGAGTTGTAGCAACTCTACATATTATGTGGAAACAAACACTGGGGGTCCACCAAAATGAGGAAACAAAGAAGCATGGCCCATGAAGAAACAGAGCAAAACTCCAGAGGGAGAACTAAACAAAATGGAGACATGTGGTCTGCTAGATGCAGAGTTCAAAACACTGGTTATAAGGATATTCAGTGAACTTAGAGAGGACCTCAGCAGCATAAAAGAGGGCATGGACCCATGAAAAGACCAGTCAGAAATGAAGGATACATTAACTGAAATAAAGAACAATTTACAGGGAATCAACAGTGGAGGGGGTAGAGCGGAGAATCAGATCAGTGATTTAGAATATCAGGAGGCAAAAAGCACCCAATCAGAACACAAGAAGAAAAAAGAATCCAAAAACATGAGTACAGAGTAAAGAGCTTTTGGGACAACTGCAAGCATACTAACATTCGCATCATGGGGGTGCCAAAAGGAGAAGAGAGGGAGCAAGAAATTGGAAACCTATTTGAAAAAATAATGACAAAACTTCCCTAACTTGGTGAAAGAAGTAGACATACAGTCCAGGAAACACAGAGTTCCAAACAAGATGAACCCAAAGAGGCCTGCACCAAGACACACCATAATTAAAATGCCAAAGGCTAAAGACAAAGAGAAAATCTTAAAAGCAGCAAGAGTAGAGCAGTTAGTTACCTATAAGGGAGTTTCCAGAAGACTATCAGCTGATTTCTCAAAAGAAACTTTGCAGGCTACAAAGGATTGACAAGAAACATTCAAAGTGATGAAAAGCAAGGACCTAAAACCAAGATTACTCTACCCAGCAAAGCTATCATGATAAAGAGCTTCCCAGACAGGAAAAATCTAAAGGAGTTCATCATCACCAAGCCACTAGTATATGAAATGTTAAAGGGTCTTCTCTGAGAAAAAGAACATAAAAAATACGAACAAATAAAATGGTAATAAATACATATCTATCAATGATTGAAGCTAAAACACAAAATAAATGAACAAGCAGAACAGAAACAGAATCATAGATATAAAGAATGTTTTGATGGTTGCCAGATGGGAAAGGATCAGGGGGGTGGGCAAAAAAAGTGTAGGGATTAAGAAATAAAAATTGGTTGTTACAAAATAGTCATGGGGATCAAAGTACAGCTTAGGGAATATAGTAACCAAAGAACATATATGCATTACCCATGAACATGGACAACGGTGTGGGGATTGTCTGATGGAGTGGGGGGATTAAGGGGGAAAGATTAAGACAACTGTAATAGCATAAACAATAAAATATAATTGTAATTCAAAAAATTAAAAAATAGTTTCAGGTGTACAGCACAGTGGTTAGACAATCATATACTTTACAAACTGTATCCCTGTAGTTTCTGTACCCACCTGGCACCATACATAGTTATTACAATATTTTTTACTACATTACTTATGCTGTACTGTACATCCCCATGACTATTTTGTAACTGCCAATCTGTACTTCTCAATACTTTCATTTATATCACTCAGTCCTCCAACATGCCTTCCCCATGGCAACCATAATTATGTTCCCTGTATCTATGAGTCTGTTTCTATTTTTTTATTCGTTTATTCTGTTCCTCAAATTTCACATATAAGTGAAATCATATGGTATTTGTCTTTCTCTGACTGACTTACTTCACTTAGCACAATAATCTCTAGGTACATCCATGCTGTTGCAGATGGTAAGATTTCATTCTTTCTTATGGCTGAGTCATATTCCATTATATATATATATATATATATATGTACCATCTCTTTATTTACTTATTTACTATGGGCACTTGAGTTGCTTCTATACCTTGGCTATTATAAGTGATGCTGCTTATTCTTTCAAATTAGTGTTTCCAGTTTCTTCAAATATATTCCCTGAAGAGAAATTGCTGAGTCATAAGGCAGTTTCATTTTTAATTTTTGGAGGACCCTCCAGTTTTCCACAGTGGCTAAACCAGTCTGCATTTCCAAGAGTGCAAAAGTTCCCTTTTCTTCACATCCTTATCAACAATTGCTTGTTGACTTATTGATTTTTATTGATGAAAGTCATTCTGTTGTGACTGATGTGAAATGATACCTCATTGTAGTTTTAATTAGCATTTCTCTGATGATTATTATCACTGAGCACCTTTTCATAAGTCATCTGTATATCCTCTTTGGAGAAGTGTCAATTCAGGTACTCTTGCCCATTTTTAAACTTGATTGCTGTTATTTTTTCGGCGTTGAGGTGTATGAATTCTTTATAAATTTTGCATATTAACCTCTTATCCAATGTATCATTGGCAAATATCTTCTCCCATTCAATAAGTTGGCTTTCTGTTTTGTTGATGGTTTCCTTTGTTGTGCAAAAAGCTTTTAGTTTCATGTAGTCCCATTTGTTTATGCATTTATTGATTTTAAATACTCACAAACATACTCACTTGGTGATATGTTTATTGATGTTTTAGAGATAAAGGCAGGGGTGGAGGAGAGAGAAACATCAGTGTGAAAGAGAAACATTTATTGGTTGCCTTCTCATATGTGCTCCTACTGGGGATCGAACCCACAACCAGGGTATGTGCCCTGACCAGGAATCAAGCTGGTGCTATCAGTATGAGTGATAATGCTCCAACCAACTGACCCACACCAGTCTGGGCTCCTTTATCAAATATTAATTGACATTCAGGCATGAGTTTATTTCTAAGCTCTATATTCTGTTCCATTGATAATTCATGTCTGTTTTTATGCCAGTACCATGCTGTTTTTATTACTATGGACTTGTATAGTGTGATAACCAACATTTTTCTTGTTCTCACAAT